AAAAAAGTAACATAAACTATATCGGTCTCAAATTCATTTCTTATGCTTTTTCAAAATAAAATACGGAGTAAAAAATTGGGACATGTAAATAAAGAATAGGAAATGAAATACAATAAATGAAAAAATTAATACAAAAAGAAATGAAAAACTGAATAAGATAAAAAGTATTATAGACAAGAGAAAATGTCACCGTCTTAAAAATAAAAAAAATGACACTTTTAATGTTCTAGAAAAACCATTTGCGTTATAAGGAACATGGAAAAAAAAGTTCATTGGATGAATGACATTTTTGTCATAATAAAATAAACTAATCGCATGATAACCCCCTATGGTTTGAAAATGGAGCACCAAGGCTCCCCTTTTATCTAATTTCCAGTCCATCAACGGAGCGTATGATTCACGCGCCACAAAAAATCCGGTGGAGGGGGTAATGGGGTATTGACGCTGCTTTTAGAAACCATATGGATTTTAGGATTAAGTATTGAAAAGAGAAAGGGTTTCGGTGCCTATTTTTCAAACCACAGGGGAGTTTAGAGCTATTAGGCTATGTGAAAAAAAAAAAATCTTCCCAATCAAAAGGATACTAAGAACGCATTCCTTTTTTTATTTGGCCAAAAATACCCTAATTAATTCCACCTTCCAAAACCCCTTTTTTTCTTGTCAATTCCATTGAAGAATTTGAAAAACAAAAAATGAAGGATCAAGAGATGGATGGGAGATTGGGAGTACAGTATAGTATTCATTTGGGAATCATTTCCAAAGTTTTACTATGATGAACTTAATTACTCCGAACACAACACAAGTACATAAAGGGGTAACCGGGTAAATGATCATTTCATGGATTGGATTTGGATAAAGCTAGGGTAACACACCCCTCATATTTTAGACACACACACAAACGATAATCGTTTGTGCAGCATAGACGATAAATCGTCTCTATACGCCCGTGCAAAGCATAGGAGGGCGGCACGGCCCATTGATTTTGCAATGGTCATTTATTTGCGAATAAAATATATACTACACATTTTTTCAAATGGAGTGATTAAAAAAAGAATGGAGTAAAATATATGGAGTTGAAGTCAGAAAATCTTTTTCTCAACTTATTTTTATTACTTATTACTTTTTTATTGGAATCAAATCAGACTAGATCAGATAAAAAACAATTTTGAATATAACTAAATTCATATCAAATCAAATCAGACCAGATAGTTATTCCAATCAAATCAGAACCATTTAGATCAAGTAAAGAGAACATGGCTTTAGTTCGAGCATGCCCAAGGAGACTATCCTATTTCTTCCCATTTTCAAAAGGCCAAATAGCAAAATAGGGAGCATAGCTTGCAATGAAAAGTTATATCACAATCATCTTTTGAAGCACCAAAAAAAAATTACTGATATATCTAATGGTTGAGATTACCAACCAAAAAACAAAAAGGTTGTCACACCGGAACGCCCATGTCCGAAATCTTAACAATTCTTTTGCCCAATGCTTTCTTCTGTTGTCGGAGATGTGATGCCATAGAAGCAACCTGATTCACAATTTGTTTTTCACTCTCAGTCAAAATAGTAATAATAATAATAATAATTAACCAAACATTTTATGAGTCAGCTAGCAGTATTTCAAGTTTTCAACCTTTAATGCTGGCAAGAAATAATCCAACTGGTCGAGTTTTGTTTGAGAATTTTTCAGTTAAAAATTGTAGTCCTAACGAAAAAAGGAGTCCTATTTAACTATTTCCAATGGGTGTAAAATTCAAAAAATACATACTCCATATATAGCTTCATAAAGCCAAATTCCTTTTACAAGACAGAAGCATTGATTAATTTATACGGAGTATAATCAAATAAGAATGAAGCATAATTTACATAAAACAGTTTATTACGTCATACAAACATTTACGGGACTTACCTCTGCTCTTAGTTTTATAGGCTCTCTTCCTGGAATCTCCCGCAGCAGGTCCATCAAATCTACAAATTGGATTACTATATATTACCCGTAATGAAATAAATTTGGTTTGCCTACAAGTAGTTTTTTTAAATTTACAATTTCATAGTTAACATAGTACGGAGTATAAAATAGAAGCACTTGTAGGTCCCATCTAATTAAGAATACCCTAGTCGTAGGTTTGTTTTTGTTTTTTAGGGGTATGTTTGGACTTAGTAAATTTATATTCCAATTACAATGAAAATGAATGCATTTAAAACAATCCATATACTCCCTTCGTCTCTAAACTAAAGTTACACTGCCCATTTTAGGTGTCCCAAAATTATGGTCACACTTCTCACATTTTCTTCAAGAGAACGTGGCTCACAATATTTCTCAACCTCTCTCCTAAACAAATTCCAACCTTCCACTTTTTACTTTTCAACACTTTTATTAAACTTTTTCACGTTAAAGAGTGACTTTGATATTGGGACAAAGGGAGTATCAATTTAAAACATAAAATAAATGAATAATACTCCGTAATAATAATAATAATAATAATAATAATAATCTCATCCACACGTGGCTAAAAAGAGGGCAGTCTAGTTCATGAAGCATTGCGTTCCCGGAAACGTTCATTTCGTAAAATCCATCCATTAACAAATTATTGTGCCTAGTTGCAAGCAAACACACATTTAAAATAGCTAGAGCTTGAAGAAAGATGTAACTTGAAAGAAGTTTTTCACGAACCAGTAGCTTGAGCTTCTGCCTTGTTAACAGCTTTTGTCAGACTTTGAATACCAGCTCCAGCATTCCTACAATATAGCATTAGAGCCCTTGATGGTCAGGTGCAGATCTAGGAAAAGTAAGATAAATATGAAAAGGAGACGCTTAAAACAATATACAATACATGAGTTCCGAATGGCCATGCGTCATATCCTCGTGAGCACGAGCCACCCTTTGAAGTAGTTTTTTGCTCTCATTCTTCATTAAATCAACGGAAATACTCAATTCTTTCACTTTCATTTCTGCTTTATTAAATCGTGCCTGCATGAATGAAAGGTTGATTGCTGTTCGCAAAGTTGCTTGATCAAGCAAATAAAACCCACTATAAACTGACATTTAAAAACAAAACCAGTATTTAAGCATATGATAAACAGGATAGTAGTGGATAAAGAATTATAGAGCTGTTGGAATGACACAAGAGAGGACACACCTCCTCGCTTTGAAAACGACCTAGAGTATTGCGAAATATAAATCTTCTTGGTCCTACAAACATGAGTTACTAGATCAATGGAAAATGGGTAGTATCATTGAGACGAAGAAGCTGTATATACCATTAGTTCAATAGTCCATTTTGATGAACAGTAATTTATACTCCGTATTAATATTAACCTATACAAAACTACAATTAACTGGAGACAGGGCAGCATGCCAACCATGGTGAAACAATTTCAGAGGATATTGTTGATAAAGAAGAATTAGTCCCATAGTCCATATATATTAAATGCGCTTTTGAAATAAAGCCATCAGGTAATATGAACATCTAATTATGAAAATCTCATTAATTTGTGAATTCTAGTATTTCAGGAGAGGGGGATCATGGTTTCCAGCCCATATATGCAGAATTTGAAGCTTATTTATACAAACAGAAAAAGGACATAGCATGCACGATATGTAATATGGCATATTACATTCAAATACTCAACATGGACCAAGGTTGAATCGCTGCCTCCAATAACTAATCAAATGGTGTTGAAGAACCATCATGCATATCAATAACATACAGGTGAGTAAACGCAAACATGCATACCTCTCATGAGCATGAGGGCACTAGCAACAACAATTCCACCAGCTAGAGTTGGATGCTCTCTTGCACTAATTATCTCATCTATAAAGATAACAAACACTTTGAATTTATGAGCATAAGCAGCTAACAAGAACCTCATAGAAAATGGTTAGCTGGGAACAACAAAAGTAAAAAAAAACCATGTCCTTAACCATTACAAACACTGATCCAGAAAATTGTCAAAAATACAATTGAGGGATGGCAATGGGTTGGGTTCGGTTTGAGTTTTAGTATATCCAAACCCAAACCGACTTAGTTCGGGTTCGGGTATAATTTAATTGGGCCAGGTTTGGATACTTTATTGGGTCGGATTCGGATTTTCGTTGGGTTGGAAAAGGTCGAATCCGGGTTGAATTGACAGTTCGACATCCCTAGGCAGTTGCGATTGGGGAAATGGTAGCAATAGTGTTGTTTAAAACATCATTTATCATGCTTAATGCACATCCTCCTATCAATAAATCAACCTTGTGTAAGTGCAATGACTCTGGATTGTATGATTTGTATACTTATATAATGTCATGTGCCAAGTGCCAATGAATTTTAACCTTTCCAGGATTGTGCACAATTAAGATTGTGTTATAGTGGCCAATGGCTGCTATATTTTCTGTCGTTGATTGCTCTCAATTCTTTTTTGAACTTGGCCTCACGGAAACACTATAAGTAGCCGTCCCACATTTAAAGATTCACTTACACTTTACTGAAAAACATTAAATGTATCTTATATTATCACCTTTAACTTTCTTGAAGAAAACATCTTCATAAGCTCTATACTGTGAACTTAATCGTGGGAGAAAATCCTGCAAGGAAAAAAAGTGGACAAAATGTAAGCAGTACACAGTGAAAAAGTCTGGCAGTTAGTGATACAATGTGATGCTAATGTCTAATGGCTAATGTTAATATTCAAACCAGAAAGTTGCATAAGATTTTTCATTCTTCCACTACCAAACGACAGCTAGAGGCCCTAGAGCTGTCCCTCATACATTGACTTCTTGAAGCTCCATCATGAAAAACCCATCATGTTTCATATCTAACAAATATTACTGATTTTTTTTCTTAGTCTACTTGATTAAAATTACCACAATCTCGGCAACATGGTATTGCTTCAAAAAATGCTCGTATGAAATAGAGCTTAAGTTGATTCCGTACAAATACCAATACATCAATATCTTCACGTAAAAATTAGATAGATGCACCGATTTCATTCGAAATAGCTTTCAGGTAATAAGACTGAAATTAAACCCAAAGACAAAAATTGCGGCAAGGAGATGATCGATTGGTACCTGTAGAGTGCGAAGGTGGAAGGAGGAGGAGTTCTGGAACGAACGCGCCGAGCGAATGGCGGAATCCGTGGACTCTTGGACCGTGCGAGGCAGATCCTCCGATATATAAGTGTGCCATGGCTTATCTCGCTGCTTCGGCGACGTAGAAATCGGCGGAATCGGTGCCGCACTTGAGGACGCGTTGATCTCGGGCGACGGAAATTCTGCCGCCGGTCCCGGAAGCGATGACACGTTGTTATCGGTGGAAGGAACTTCGGTATCCATTCCGGCGAGTTTCAGTTCTGCACTAGAGGTCTGAGTTAGAACTTAGAAGTGCTACGGGCTGAGCACCGGTCCAACACCTAACTGGATTGGACCGGAGCCAAATTTAAAAACCAGGAAGAAGATCGGATCTTTACATGTTCGGACCCATAAGACCGGAAATTTTCAATCTGAATAGTGAATATCATAATAGAAAAATGATTTATTAAAATTTAATATCACGATCTAATCTAATACTCCCTTCATCTACAAATAAATTTCATGTTCACTAATCACATGATAAAACTTTATTCATTTAACTGACCTTTTTTGTCACCCATTTGATAAAATTATATAGTCATGTCACCTCTAGTTTTGTAAATCTTTTGGTATAGTTTTTAAATATTTAATTTTTATTTTTAAATTTTTATACTATTTTTCATACAAAATGTTTTGAAAATAACTTCAGTCAAATATCGTAACACGCAACGAGTAATTTATTTGTGGACAGGGAGAGTATTATTTAGTTCCAATAAGAATAGAGGAGTTTCAATTAGACGACTATCGTAATATAACACTCAAAATGAACATCATTATAACTTTGTCGATTAGACAAATTTACTATTTATGAGTCGTATTGAAAAGAACAAGTACATCTAAATTTTATGAAAAATGCTAAGGGTACACCAAAGGTATACCTCATTTGTCCCCCACCCCCTCCTCCACCACATAAACGTGCAAAAAACTTATAAATAAATAAATAATTAAAAATAAAATAAAAATATGTGGTAGAGAAGGGGGTGTGGGACAAATGGGATACACCTTTGGTGTACCCCTAGCATTGCTCAAATTATATATATATATATATATATATATATATATATATATATATATATATATATATATATATATATATATATATATATATATATATGGGCCGGTTCTCGTGAGAATGCACCTTGTGGAGAGAAATGAGAATAAAATCTAGCCGTCGGATCTGATGCATCGTGCGGCTGAGATTGCATCCTACGCTCAGATTTTGAGATAGTGCATTTTCGAAGGTTTATGGTGCATTTCGACGTGATGCATTTTCGCACCATTTTGGTGCATCTAATTTTGATGAAATCTTGACCCTTAGATCTCACAATCTAACGTTCCAGATTCATTCTCATTTCTCTTCTAAGATTGCATTCTCACCAGAACCTATATATATATATATATATATATATATATATATATATATATATATATATATATATATATATATATATATATATATATATATATATATATATATATATATATATATAGGGGCTGGTTCCTGTGAGAATGCACCTTGTGGAGAGAAATGAGAATGAAATCTAGCCGTTAGATCTGATGCATTGTGCGGCTCAGATTGCATCATGCGCTCAGATTTTGAGATAGTGCATTTTCAAAGGATTATGATGCATTTCAACGTGATGCATTTTCAAACCATTTTGTTGCATCTAATTTTGATGCAATCCTGACCCTTAGATCACACAATCTAAAGCACAAGATTCATTCTCATTTCTCTCCTAAGATCGCATTCTCACCAGAACCAAAATCTATATATATATATATATATATATATATATAGAGAGAGAGAGAGAGACACATACACACATACTCACAAATAGTTTGTGTCATGTGTAATTGTGATTAAACATCATAATTGTGTCATCGTACTCATTCATACTTCTCCCACGCCTCCCATCTCATAACATATTTTAACTTTTCGAGGGTAGTGCTCCTACAATGATGGTTGTTGTCATCGTCTTCTTCTCCCATTTATTTTACATTATTATTTTTATTTCAACTAATTCAAATTGAAATACTTGCATTTCAATCAATCCAAATAATTATTTGATAGTCATGCCGCATTAGATACATACGGAGTATATAATATGTTAATCACACACACTCACTTATGAGAGACATACATGGTATTCTATCAAGGCCCCATACCACATGGTTTAAAGCATACTTTTCTCAACTTATTCTTACGATTTATTTTTATTAGTTACAATCCAGATCAAATTAAATATAAATTTAATTATAACTATATTTAGTTCAAATCATATCAGATCAGGTTAAAATATCAAATCGGAATAATTCAGATAGAAGAATCTCTTAGTGTCAAAAAAATTAGGACTAACAAAATCTCTAATGTTTTTAAGGCTCTCTTTGGTATACAGAATTCAAACTATGGAATTGAAATTGAGGGTTTCAATTCCAATTCTGGTGTTTGGTAGCACAAAAATCATGTGGATTTTGAATTGATAGTGCAAAAAATGAATTGGAATTGGTGAATTCAACTCTATGGAATAGAATCGCATAAAATTTCAATTCCAATTCAATTCTAATTTCATCAATTCTATATGCCAAACAGACCCTAATAGTTTTTTAATGGCTTTATTTTGGATGGCAATATGAAATGATACTCCATAAAAAAGGCCAAGTAACCAAGACAGAAAATACAAGTATAAAAATTACAAAAATGCTAAGGGTACACCAATTTTTGTACCTCATTTGTACCCCCTCTATCTCCACCACACAAAAGCAAGAAAAGAAAAAAAAATAAAAATATAAAAGGAAATCTATGGCTATGATTATTAGTGTACAAATGGGTACCCTAGCATCCCTAGAAAAAATTAAAAAGCCTCAAACCGCAACTACAACAATTATTCAGGAAGTGTGACGGTGTGAGAACCTGTGACGAATCAATTCTGCAAAAAAGAAACTAAAAAACCCTCTGCGAGATTGACTGACAAGCCTGGAAGGAATTCATATTGAGAACGGTAGCTGCCGGAACGGCTTCTTACTCCGGCAGGCGGCGAGATCGTCTTCCTATTTCTTCCTCTGTGGAATCTTCTTCAACGATGCTCCGCCGTTGTTGAACGCAAGATCAATAAAAATTTGCAAGAACGCTCCGCGATCGAGGAGGGGAGAAATCGAGAAAGAAGCTGCGGAGGAGTTTCATCTTATCATTTTTTTCCCTGATGTCAATGTAGCCACATTAGCGTAATAGTCGTCAGGTTTCGGCAATTGTTCTTCGTTTTCCTTTGAATTGAAGTTGTTTTCCCAATAATCTCGATTCTGTAAACTGAAAACTGCTGGTGGGCGGGTGATTGTATATGATGCGTTGTGATGATTTGAGAACATACATATGGAATTGGCGTGGTGATTATGTCAGGATTCAATCCTCTGCTGTTATTCTCTTATTCGTTCAAGTGAGTATTTCTTCTGCTTATCTGCATTTTTCGAAATGATTTTTTTTTTTTTGAAATTTTCGTGTAAGATAGATCTAATGAAATCATTTTTGTACTAATATGAGATTCAATTTTTATTTAATTGATGATGAAACTTTTGTCTGTTTGAACTTTGTCTTGAAAAAATTGTTGTATTATTTGTTATTTATCAAATTTCAGCTGCATTTGTGTTTTATTTTGGATTTGTTTAGCATGAATTGACTGATCTGGTTTACAATTGAAGATTGGTTGTGCGCTGATCGGATCTCTGGGGGCATCGTTCAACGGGGTCTCACTGGCTAATCTTGGAATTGCCTTGTTTGCTTTGGTCGCCATAGAAAGTAGCAGTGAGAGGCTTGGCAGAACCTATGCCGTCCTTCTCTTCTTTGCCATTTTGCTTGACATTTCATGGCTCATTCTCTTCTCACATGAAATTTGGTACCCTTTACTTCTCTCCTTTATTGACTATTGTGGACTAGTGACAAGGACTGATGAAGAAATACATTAAACTAGAAACAAGGAGACATATTGTCATGCCTGTTTAATAATGCTTAGATTACCCTATCATTGTCATTTCATAACAATTGTCATATGATGTCGATTTCTTCCTTCTTTAAGTGATATTTATGCTTTTTTTTTCTTATCTTTTTGAATCGTAGGACCATTTCATCCGAGACCTATGGAACCTTTGTAACGTTCTCGTTGAAACTTACTCTGTCGATGCAAATAATTGGATTTTGTTTGAGGCTATCATCCTCTTTATTGTGGATTCAGATGTACAAACTTGGTGCTTCTTACGTAGACAATCCCAATCATCGTGAAGGATATGCTGATTTGAATCAGAGTTTTCTCAATCCTGCAACACCTTCTATAGTTAGACAACCCTCTGGCTCTGATGAAGTTTTAGGAGGATCTATATGCGACCCTTCATATTATTCATCTTTGTTTGGGGATGGTAGAGATGAGGCATATTTTTCAGAGGTACCATCTCTCAATCTCCCAGTATTTGTTGCCATCATTGGCAGGTTGCCTAATTTTATTTTCAATAAGAATTTTTATTTTAATTTTAATCTCAACCATTCAGTGATATCATGAAGCATAGCGAGAATATACTCCGTAGGATTTTCTTAATCTTTAAAAAAACCTTCGCAAGGCACACCAAGTATTTTGCTATCAAATGAACAGTTCTGAAGATACTCTATAGTGTATCTTTAATGCTATTATGTACTCCAATAATGACTAGTAAGGTTTTATAGGGAAAACTTCATGTGCTTGCCACCAAAAGGAGTCATGCTTCAAAAAACATATCCCAAAAAAATTGATTTGCCGACAATCAAATGAAGCTAATTTTTAATGTAACATGCCAAAAACTTACCAAACAATTTACTGGTAATATATAAGTATTATTCATGATTTATTACAGCTGTCCCTTATTAAACTTAAAAAGGTTTACAATGTTCAAACACATGTATTTTGGAGGGCGCAGGTAGTATATATTAGCACATTCTATTCTATTATTAATGTATATGCGTGGCATACATTATTGTTACATACTTTCATAGTTATTCCTTCTCACAGGCTATTCAAAATCATGACACATTGCTTCAATCAACTACAACTGAAGACGTTATTCAGATGAAATCATCCATGGGAAGATCTGTTTGCAGCATGGAAGTAAGTTGTTAAATAGCAGTACAATCTTGTTTATGGTTATTAGTCTTACTACTTTTGTTTTGAACTAAAGTGTGAACCCCCTGATGCGCCGCCGAATAGATACTACTATGCACTTCTTCCATAGCTAGCTCGACCTCATTTTTTTGGTACACCAGAAGTATGAGTCTCAACTTTTTTGATGAACTAAATCCTACCAAGTGCTCTTAAGATTATATGAAATTGCATTTTTCCAATACAATCTGGGTTTTGTGCCCCCTGTCTCTCTTATGAAAAACACTTCAATTACACCATTTGAGGTTCCAATTATGACCTTTAGAAACTTGATTTTGGTGGAGCAAAGGATCAATCAAATTATATAGTCCTTATGATGCATTTGTTCATATGCTATATCATCATCTTAAGCACACCCTAATCCCAACCAGTTGGGATCGGTGGGCGGTGGCATTAACTTTATATTGCTAATTAATTGTATAAATCTCTTTAACACTTTAAAATCATGCAAAGATGCATAGTGGCAATATTTTACTCCAGGTGCCCTTCGTATCACAACCTATTTTGGCAGAAATAATGAAATGAAAATTCTAAAACTCTCAATTACGTGTTGTCCAACAAATTCACCCTGTGAGAGAAATTGCCATACGAAGTGTTTGTTTGGCTTCATATCTGTTTTTTGTTCGATGCAACCAATTATAAAAAAAACTAAGCCTAATACTCTTATCTGTCTCTACGAACACATTTATTTGCAGGCTGGAAGCGTTGCTGCTGGGAATTCGCTACATGTATGAACTAGTATATATTTGCTTACTCCCTCCGTCCTAAACTTTTCTTCCTACTCACCTCAAACGTGTGGTTGTGGTTTATTTAGAAAACATGGAAACAATATCAACCACAAATCTTTCTTTGAAAGGAAATATGAAGAAATTTTTCGGGACGTTCCACATGGAGGGAGATTTTTTTTCTTCATATATTTTTTAAACTCAATTTCGTCAAAGTCCTTATCGATCATTATTCTTTTCCTATAGTTTTATGCTGCAGTGCTTACTTGGTTTTCACTAGGTTGTTATTGTTAGTGAGTTCTGTAGTGTGTACAGTATAGTAACAGAACATTACATTAGAACTGTCTCTTGGCATTAAATATGACTCTTCCTTGTGTTCATACAATTTTACATGCAGTGACTGCTACTTCACTTATCCCACCAAGTATTTGTCTAATTTGATTTTTTTCGAGTCAAACTAAACACATTTTGAGCTATGTTGTTACAAAATTATTTCATTAGATTTACTCCGTATTTGCAAAAATGTTCATCTCATTGGATTAATCACACAGGTTCTATGGCCTCTCACTTTGAGTGACCACAGAGGATAATGTTCCTCTACGGTGCTCCGTTCGAATTGATAGTTCCTACCGGAGGGTTGGGGGGTAGGAATTGGGTGGAGGTTTATCAGGGGATTAGAAACTATTAAATTTTTGAACGAGACATCGTAGGTGTCTCAATTGGGACAGTGTCCTCCGAGGATATTGAAAATGGGCGAGGAAGGAGCACGGTGGTACCTTTTGCATGTTAAGTTGTACTTCCTCATTTCCATGTCCCTTTTATAAGGTACTCCTACTTTGCAGAAGGATAATGCAGCCCTTTTTATAAAGGGACTTTACCAATCTCAAGATAATGTATTCAATAATGCCCTCTTTGTTCTCGGGTGGTTCTTTTGACATTAAACATCAATGTCATAATATGACAAGGGTGTTAGAGTTTAGGGGGTGAGAATCATTGATTTTGCAAATAGAGTATTGTAGGTGTCCCCTAGCATGCCCCGTCCCCAACATAGCCCCCTAACCCGCCCCTTCCCCAACGCACCCTCACACCCCCACCGATTTCTTTACACTGAATTTTATCACTTGTTGGTCAAATTTTTGACCAAATATTGGTTTACCGGGGGGGTTAGGGGAGGTAGAAATAATCAAATATTGGTTGGTACACACTTGATTTCAATATACTACTCGTACGTATTTATTTTGCAAAAAAAAAAAAACTTTCAAAGAACTTTTTTTTGTTGTGTAGTTAGGCATTTGTTCTGTGTTCTTTCTGCATGGTGATGTACTGCCATGGATTTTGCACACTTAATTTTGAGTGGTGCTTATGAAGTTTACCTTTCTCCAAAAGAAAAAAAAAATTGTTTCATTGTTTTAATATATGTAATGCAAATCTTATTTGATTGTTCATCAAAATTTAGTCAACTTAACTGAAGACGTCAAAATAGATAAATAATTTGGGACAAAGATAGTAATAAAAAATAAAAATATATATTTCTCAGAAATTGAATATCATCTCTCTTTTCTTAAGAGAATTTATTGGTTAAATGTCATATGATAGAGACTATGGAATGGACGTAGAGATGCAGTATCCCCTCTATTAGGTACTCCCACCGTCCTAAAACTTTCTTCTCAGAGCACCATTCCAACTTCACGAGAATTTATATTTATTTGTGTTTTTTCATGGCCTATATGATAAAATAAAATATTCTTGTCACCACTTGTTTTGTTGAACTTTTGATGTAGTTTTTAAATATGTATGTTTTATTTTTTATTTCTATACCAATATTTAAATAAAATAGATTGAAAAAACTTGGGATTTTTCTTCGTTTTGCGCAACAGGAAGATATAGGACGGAGGGAGTAATTTTTATCAAGTCCTTTATACCTTATACCATATAGGGGAGTATTTGTGTCATAATGAAGTGAAGTCTATAAATTACTCCGTATTATTTTTTTTATCAATAATTAAGATTATATTCTCTTCCTTCTAAAATTTCCTCTTGATTACTATTAATATGGCCAAACTTTCATAATTTTTTATTTATTTATTTTTGTTAGTCATTTGATAAAATAATATAGTCTTGTATATAATTTTAATACTCCATAAGTAATTTTACACTTGAAATATATTAAATTAAAAATATCTTTAGTCAAATTTCGTAAATCAAAATAGGAAAAAGTTTTTAGAACGTAATAATAATAATAATAATAATAATAATAATGAAATAATAAAATAAGAATAATAATAATAATAAAATGTCAAATTCATACTGTAGTATATATACAATTAAAAAATAAAATTTTGGATCTTCTAAAAATCGGGATTTGACCGATGACCACCCGGCCCATGCCTTGAATATCTCTTGAATTTCACGTAGATCCAAGATTCGTTTCAGAATTCAAGTATTCTCTTAATAGATATGCAAATATGAGACCAGTTCTATGGCCATTGGATTCCAGTGGCCACGGAAGCCACTGCCCCGTTCATAAAATTGATGATTCCTACCCCCCTAACCCATCCGCTAAACCCCTCCGCCAAGTCCCGACCTAAACTAATCAGCCCACCTACGTCAATTGCACCTCGTAAGTATAATTGACTTTAAAGGCAAAAGTTTTGACTTTATACTTACGAGGTGCAATTGACGTAGGTGGGGTGATTAGTTTGGGTCGGGACTTGGCGTGGGGATTTACCGGGGGGTTAAGGAGGGTAGGAATCATCAATTTTATGAACGGAGCTTCGTAAGGAGGCAGTGACTTCCGTGGCTACTGGAATCTAGTGGCCATAGAACCGGGCTCTGCAAATATTTGCACAATTAGCACCGCAGAGTTGTGGTCGCTTAGAGGTCATGTGTTCAAACCCAACCACTAGCTGGAAGACTTTCGGTCTTAATCTGCAAACCTAATCAATTAGGATTAGTCGAACTTCGCCAAAGATGGGTTTGGATTACTTGTGGTCTAACAAAAAAATAAATATATATTGAGATGTAATTTCTTTGCTACACAAAAAAACTCTGCATTGACTTTAAAATTGAATAAAATTAAGTAAGACTTACACTTTTTTCGTGCATATTTTCGTTAGTTATTCGATAAAATAAGTAGTTATATCACCTCTAATTTTATAAAATTTTTGCATAGTTATTAAATCTATAGATTTAATTTTAAAATTATATATATAATCAAATAAATTAAATTGTAATAAAAATTTAATATTAAGCTATAAAAAACATATAAATTTTACTCCCTCCATCTCTAAATAGATTACTTTTTTTGCTCTCTTCTCTTGATAACTTTTGTTTGTTTACGCGATTTCATTAAGTATTTAATAAAATAAAATATTCTTGTCACCTCTTATTTTGTAGAACTTTTGACGTAGTTTTTTAATATGTAATTTTTATATCTTATTGATATACCCATTTGAAAATAAAATGATTTCAAAAAGTAGAAAATTTTTCTTCGTAACCCACAATTTGTAATCTATTTAGGGATGGAAGAAGTATTTTTTACATTTATCAATATTTTTTGAGTAAATTCAATAAAAGGTCCCCAATTATAAGTCGTTTTACATATTTAGTCCCTACATATCAAATATTACTAATTTAGTCCCCAATTATTATATTCATTTCCACGAATGGTCCTTTGTTAACATTTCCGTTAAGAACGTGGTTAAAATTGTAAATTTACACTCCTTTATCTCCTCAATTAAGCTTCCTCTCTCCCCTCGCACTCCTTTCCCAAATCCGTTGTTGAGTTTGAAGCTTTGAACCCAAAATCGAAATCATCACGAGTGGAACCCAAATTCGAAACCAGTAACCTCCATGGATGAATTTTAATGTTTATTTTCTTTGCAATTTTTTGAGACTAACTGATAAAACTCATCCATAAAGCTTATTGGTTTTGATTTTAGGTTCCACGAGGAAGACTAATAATTGAGAGAGAATGATTATTTCAGATTTGGGTTTAGAGCTTCAAACTCAGCGACGAGTTTGGGAAAGAGTACGAGAGAAGGGATGAAGCTTAATTGAGGAGAGAGAGGAGTGTGAATTTACAATTTTATCCACGTTCTTAATAGAGATGTTAACAAAAGATCATTTGTAGAAATGAATATAATAATTGAGAACTAAATTAGCAATATTTGATATGTAGGGACTAAATATATAAAACGACTTATAACTGGAGACTTTTTATAAAATTTACTCATATTTCTTTTAATCCAGCAAGGATAAGAATTTCAATGTGAATTACTCCCTCCGTCCCCCTGTATTTGTCCACTTTCATTTTTACACACCATCCAATGCACTTCTTTAATCCATTTTATCTTATAATTTGTATATTAAAAAATTATAAAAATTATATATTAATAATCTATATGTTAAAACAAATCAAACAAGATCACACATGACTATATTTAGACTTACACATTGAGAGAATTTGATGAGTCAAAGTGCTTAGATGAACAGTTCCAAAAGTCAAATGTGGACAAATACAGGGGGACCGAGGGAGTATAATATGTTGGGGCCGGTGTATTCTAGATCCTTCTCTTCCTTTTTTTACCTTTCTTTACCGAGTAATGAAACTCTAAACCCCAAAACATTAATTTTCCTTCAAGAAACTCCGGAATCGTTCTATTGGTTCATCTTTTTATCCTGTCTGAATCTGCAAAATCGATGGTAGGAATGACTTCCGATCTTCTTTCTTATCGTCTGCTATTTGTTTTCATTCAATTTTTTACTCTGTTATTCATATCGCGCAATAGAAATCTCTTTTTTTGTCTGTGTTTTACCAGATGCGATTTCTAGGGTTTTGTTTTTGATAATGATTTTCGAATTCTTGTATCTTCAAACGTTTAATAGGAATGAATCGCACTTTATGTTTTCTGTGTAATTGTTAAAAAATTCGTTCTTCATGGCAGGAGATGGAGGACTCTGAAGCAGGAAGGTATTGGTGCTACCAGTGCTCGAAGATGGTGAACCCGATCCTGGAGGAGGTGGAGGCCTTGACCTGCCCGGTATGCCTGACCGGATTCTTGGAACTGAGGGAATCCGCGGTGGAATCCGGCGACGCTTCTTCCCCAGCTCTGTCGCAGATCCTCGCGGCGATGCTGGAAAACCTCCGCGAGCTGCACAGCGTCGTGTTGGAAGGCCGTGGGCCCCAGGGAGACCTAAACGGCGGCGAGAATGACTTGACTTTGAGATCTGCTGTTGCCCTTCTCCGGACCCTACGAGCCATTCCAACTGAAACCCCAACCGAACCATTGAATCCCCAAGGGGATAATAGTGATGCTGAGAATGATGAGAACAATGGGAGCTCTGCCGCCGCCGCCGCCATTATCCAGCTCCTTCAAAATCAAGTTCATGAAACCCTAACCGAATTGCCCAACCCCGATGAGGGCACCCGCGGTCGAAACGGGCAACGGCAAATCGGCACATTTGGGGATTACGTCTTTGGCCCCAACCTCGACGCCATCGTGGAGCTCCTGACCGAGACTGACCGGAACCGGTACGGGACCCCACCTGCCCGGAAGGACGTGGTGGCGGGGCTGCCCGATGTCAGAGTCGAGGGCGGCCCGTACCCTAACGGGTCGTCCGGGAGCTGCACCGTTTGCTTTGAGGAGTTTCGGGCTGGAACCGTGGTGAAGGAGATGCCCTGCAAGCATAGGTTCCACAGTGAGTGTATCTTACCATGGCTAGACCTCCATAGTTCTTGCCCGGTCTGCCGGCACCGGTTGCCCGCCGAGGAGGAATCGGAACCCGAACCGGACGAGAGGGACGACGGGTCCCGGGATGACATCAGCAGCAGTTCGAGGAGAGATGGAGAAGAAGAGAGTGATGGGAGTGGTGGCCGGCGGTGGGTTTGGGGGCCGTTTGTGTGGCCGTTTTAGTTAGTTTGGAGTTTTTGGTCCCCTTTTTAGTTAGTTTGCAGATATGGTTTAGGTACTGTTTGGGTTATTATTGTGAAACCAGATTTTAGTGCGATTCTGTTATGGGTTTATTTGCATTATACTTCGTACTTTGTGGTTCAAATTTGGGAATTCTTTTGCTGAAAGAGCCACAATTATATACGCAATCGGGACCGAGCTTTAGGTCCCGTTTGGTACATGAAATTCAAATTATGGAATTAGAATTGAAGACTTCAATTCCAATTATTGTGTTTGGTAACACAAAAATTATGTGGATTTGGAATTGATAGTACAAAAAATGAATTGGAATTGATAGATTTTAATTCTATGGGATTGAATCCCGTGGAATTTTAATTCCAATTCAATTCCAATTCCACCAATTTTGTATATCAAACGGACCCTTAGGTTACCCTTGATGTCTAGGTCGATGACAACTTGCCACTTTCTTTGTCTGAGGTCTTCTCCACAATATTTATAATATCAAACGTCATCTGCTTTATCTACCGAGTATTTATTTTTATTGTTCATTTTATAAAATAATAATCATTTCACCTCTTAATTTGTAAAATTTTAAATGAAATTTTTTAAAATTTACATCTACAATCAAATAAATAAAATTTAAAATAAAATCAATCAAACATTGTGTTGCATAACAAATACTACATAGATCTTTAAGGTGAGACTAAATTTAGAGGAACGATTTAGCACATACTCTCTCCATTCCGAAATTGGTTTCAAGGAAATTCCAATGAGACAAAAATTTAATTTTTTCCCAATTTATTCTACATTAAATGTTTTACCCAATTAAATTATTTGTTTATTATTGATAAGGTCAAATTTCATTCACTTTTTTTCTTATTTTTATTATTGAATTTAATAAAATAATATTATATCATCACTAGTTTTGTAGATTTTGAAGTAGGGTGAGCAAATTAACTGGACCGACCGCGAAACCGAAAACCAAAAACCGAAATAACCGGAAGTTCGGTTTCGGTTTCGGTTTTCATTTAAAAATTATTTTCGGTTTTTTTGGTCGGTTTTCGGTTTTTTGTAAGAAAAACCGAACCGACCGAATAACCGATGATTTTATTTTAATTTATTTTTTATTTTTTAAAATAAGAAAATATTTGATTAACACACATGCTTTCTTTTTACTCTTTCATGGAAAACTATAATGTTTCACTTTTAAAAAATTTATTTGTTAATGTTTTGAACATATTAATAAGAAAAGTGCAATTTTTATATGAAATGGATAGTGTAAATTCAAAAAAATTAATCTACCTTACTAAATCAATGACAATAAAAAAGTTTTAATTTAAACTAATTTAATACACATCAATCTACCTTTCCAAATTAGTTTCTTGAATTTATATTAAAAAATCAAAATAAAAGTAATTAGAATTCGGTTTTTCGGTCGGTTTTTTTGATGTATGGGTGGTTTTCGGTTTCGGTTCGGTCGGTTTTGATTTATGGTCGGTTCAGTTCGGTCGGTTTTCAACTATGTTAAAAAAAAGTCGGTTTTTTCGGTTTCAAACCAAAACCGACCGAAACCGACCGTTGCTCAGCCCTATTTTGAAGTGTAATTTTTAAATATGCAAATTTTATTTTTTAATTCTACAATATTTTTCATATAAAATAATTTAAAAATAACTTATATCAAACATCGTAAATCAAAATAAGCAATTTAAATTATGACGCGGGAGTTACAAAACAAGAAGTGAATTTTATTTTTTTCAATTTAAAATTAATCATCTAGACATTTATGATAGGTACTTTTTTGGTTGACCCTTGGTATCTAAAGCTTTGTTTGGACTAATCCAGTCCAACCTAAATGACGCACCCGATGGGTGAGTGATTTCACTGATTTGTCATACCAGAAAAATAAAACTTCCTACATCCCAATTTTAAATGTCTGTTTACGAAATTTGACTAAAATCATACTAAACGCAATTTATTTGAAAATTAGTGTAGAAGTAAAAAATGTTACATACTTGAAAATTACATAAAAAGATCTACGAATAAAGTGACAAGAATATGCTATTTTATTAAATGGGTAACAAAAATATATAAAGAATATGGTTAAAATTTAAATCTACTAATAGCAAACATGCAACTTAAATTAAGAGAGAGGAAGTATGAACCATTTTTTCTTAAAAAACTTGGAAACCTTAATTTAGGCAAACCAAAAAAGAAAATGTGAAACATTTTCATAGGCAACACAATTTAAAAAGCAGAAACCACCAACAAACAGAGCTTAAAGTGGGAGATGTTTAAACTTTGGTGAGCTTAAAGTGGAAAGAGATATGTCATTTACATTATGTTTGGTTCAAGGAATTTGAAAGCAAAAAAAAAAAAAGAAAATGAGATGAAAAACAGTTTTTCTTATTTGTTTAGAGAGTAAAAGAAGATAAAAATAGAAGAAAAAAATGAAAAGACAAAATGTACTAAGAGAAGGAAAAATCAAATTCCTCATAGTTTGGCGAGGAAAATGAGAGTAAATCATTATCTTTTGTTTTCCTTCCAAATTCCTTGAACCAAACATAGTGTTAGTGAATAAGAGAAAGGAAACAAAGAAAAAACCCAAACAAGACCTCTGCTTATCAATTAGTCCTAATCATTGGCCTTTGGTTACCCTTTTCTTTCCCTTCCATGAGGACCCACCCTAAAGCCCTTAACACTTGATAATCTTTCTAAACCAGGAACTTAAATCTAGAGCAAAAGTCTCTTTTTCTTCCTAGTTTTAGTGTTCGATGGAAAAAAAGAGGATACTTTCAGAGTTCATCGTGAGCTTGTGGTAGCTCGCTGTTGAGCACTTTGAGCCGATCCTCGAGCTCCTACAACATTGGAATTGGTTTGCACAAACATTAGAAGTGATTATAAGTACATAAGGGTCCGTTTGGTATACGGAATTGACAGAATTGGAATTGAAATTCCATGGGAATCAATTCCATAGAATTGAATTTTGCCAATTCCAATTCATTGTTTGCACTATCAATTCCAAATCCACATAACTTTGTGCTACCAAACAACAAAATTGGAATTGAAGTCCTCAATTCCAATTCCATGGTTTGAATTCCATGTACCAAACAGACCCTTAAGTGTCAAGAAAACGAAAGAACGGTGGTGCATGAAATGCTTGATATTAGACCGTAAGGTCTTAACTTGGGGCAAGTTCATGAGATTTTAGTTACCTTTAGTTTTTCTTCTGCACAGACAGCTGGTGTGGATAAAAATGCAAGATATCTGTGTCCACAAACTTCAAGTTAGATGGAGTGTTGAAAAGGCTAGAAATGGAAAGAGAAAAAGTACTGAGCTTGTAAACTTATTATCAATGTCTTGGCAATTCCACGTGTTCTCATGTGCAACGGTTTCATAATGAGAAGTGGCTAAAAGGTACTCCATAGTAGTTTAAAAGTTTTAAAAGGGGAAAGTAAAACTTTTCTAGGAAAAAATGAGTTTTTATATATACTATTTTACTTTCAAACCCCATTTCACGAGTATAATACATGGGTTAAACATAATCCCTCAGCCATACTCTGTGTTACTGAAAGACTAAACATCAAATGTGTTTTATAAACCAAACCAAACCAAACCAAACAAGCCTACTACATCTAAATATATTGGTATGAAAGTGATATAGATTAAGAATCTTACTCGCACCGGCTGGGCTCATCTACGTCAGTTACCTCATTTTTTAAACCACATCTTAGTTTGACCTGCATAATAATATCAAAAATGCAGGGAAAATATGGGCAGTGCCGCAGTGGATTAGTCAAAAATAATAAAAAGAGATCCATGAAGTGCTTTTTGATTTATCAAAGGCAGGCTTGCTTTTCTTAATACTACATGATAGATGGATGCAATAGTTTCATTTTGAAGCCAAACCTAACATAACCCCACATGCTCTGTATACATATCCACAGTTTGAAGCAGTATTATTTTCTTTTGTTCTTTTATGGTAAGTGATGTGTCTGTTTCACAAGTTTTAGCTTTTCTTTTTATACCCGGAGTACTATTTTTCCCTGGTCGAAACGGGACATCAAACGGGTTGATACTTTACGAGCACATAAACTTGACCATAGAGTGTGTGAAGTCTGTCAATTAAATCTAGAGCCTTGGAGAGCAACCACTGACAATTGAAGTAACTCAGAAGAAATGAAGTGTACAACTCCACATGACAATTAATAAATATGGTACTCCCTCCATCCCAAAAAAAGCCTCCCAATTGGCTTTGGCACAAATTTTAAGAAAAGTGAAATTATATGATTGAAAGTGATGCAGAGGAGAGAGCAATATGCTGGGCCACACAATTTTTGCCAAAACTGGGAATAGGAGTCTTTTTTTGGGACGTCCTGAAAAGGAAATGAGGAGTCCTTTTTTCGGACAGACCAGACACCAGATGGTGAGGATAATTACCTTCATACTCCTTTGTGGTCCATTCCAGCAGTGATCTCCATTTGAAAAAATCATGGTTCTGTATGAGTCCTCAAATTTATCCCAATTCCTAACAGGACAGATCACAAGTATATAAATAAATAGTGCCAGGACAATAAAAATAACCCCCCCCCCCAAAAAAAATAATGAGCATTGAGCAATAAATTAATACCGCAATTCTGCAAATGAAAGTTCCTACAAGTATACCAACAATAGGGAAGTGATACTTAAAGCACTCATTAATTTTAAATTCTAAATTTCAGCAGTTTACTAAGAATGCTCTAAAGCGTAAAGTATTAGAACATGTACCATAAAGACAAAAGAATCCCTACCCTAAATGACTTGTACTATGGCCCTCAACTTGTGTGGCCTTTTTGAAAGGGCAAATCTTATATGTGTACCTGAAAAAAAAATGTCAAAATTGTCCACCAAATAACAGTTAATCAGAATAGCTAACTGAGAGAGCAAAAAAAAAAAAAAGTAAGAGAACAATCAAACAAAGGCTAGAAGGAGAAGTGAGTAACTTGTTTTTCTTGATTTCAAAACATTGACCATGAAATGAATAGAATTCCTTCTCTGGCCCTATAACAGAAAAATGACCATCAGTATTGGCGCATATGATATTTAGTGGAAAGAAAAACATTGAAAAGTAGTGCTTAGTC